ATACACATCAATGATAGATAAATTTCCAAGAAACCAACTTGTAAGTATGATCAGCATACCTGGAAAACACTTTTTGTTTTATTAAATTTTATTATAATTTTTTTTCATTGACAAGTCTCTTCCATTAGAGAGTAATTTACTTGGGGGTAGGCATGGTAGGTGCTTAATAAATTCTAAGTACTAACTTATTATAAATACTTAACACTATTAAAATAAATGAACATAGATATAGTCACCTCACCTCTTTAGAAAAACTTTTCACTGGTTCCCTATGTAAAGAGTCCAGCCATTTGTCTACCATTTCTTGAGCCCCTCATCAGATGTATATGCACATACATGCATATGTAAACACACACAGACATATACATGTATATACACACACACACACACATATATACACTGTGTGTTGGAATTTATACACACATGCATACATATTACCTAATCCTCACAGTAAAACATCTTAGAGATTTGTGGGTTTATATAATTGTGCAAGGTGACAGACATAACTGTTCAAATCATAATTCAAATCTGTCTAGGTCTAAATCACATGCTCCTTTTATGATTAAATTATCCTGCCAGTGACACTTCTGAGCCTGGCCCTGGAAGTGCGTTACAGTTCTTAGTCCTTCGTATCTGCCTAACTTCATTTCACCCAACTCTTCACCACATGCAATTTGTTCCATCGTAACAAATAGTACTACCCCTCCACATATACCATATTATGTAAAGACACCCCAAGGATATCTTGGTAAAATGTAGATTCTGATTCAGTCATTTTGAGGCACAGCGTGAAATTGTGCATTTATAACAAGTTCTCAGGTGTTGCCAATGTTGAATTGTTTCTAGTCTATGCTTTGTTTAGCAAGGTACCAGAGCCTCCTTTTTAATGTGCCTTGGGTCCTTCCCTTGACAAAATATTCTTCACTCCTCTTCTTCCTAGTTTCATCTAGTACCACCTCTTCCTTGACACCCTTTCCAATTCTCCATCTCATTCTCACCTTTACTAAATACCAACAGTATTCCAATAGCAGTAGTTCCTTTGCATTCTTCTTATTTTTCTTCGTATATAAAATGATATTTCAAAAAGTCTTTGAAAAAGAAATTAAACGACAAATTTATTTTGGTGTAAAACTTTTTGAAATTAATGCGTATGTTTTCCGTTACATGAATCTTCCAAGAACTTTTTGAAAACTCCTGGTATTTGTCTTCGCTGACTGGACAACCCAGAGGCATAGGTTTTTTTCTAAAACTTCTAAATGTCTATCAGCACTTAGCAAGGCACTTTCCTGTTGTAGTATGGGAGCTAATTATTGGTTTATCCTCCTAGCTCAGAAGCCCTCTTCCACAGAAACACCCTCTCACCCATCCAAAGAACCCAGATCTGCATGAGTAGAATGGTAGTGGCTGTGTCTTAATCTCTAACCCTACAACAGCTAACTCAATTAGAATTTAGAGTTTGCTCTCTAGTATTCTGAAACTGACTGACAGGAAAAACTTCATATCTTTCTTTAGGGATCCTTTGTATAAATGAAAATACGATCAAAGACTGTGCTTTCTGTGTGTGGGTGGGAGAAACAGAAGCAGCCAGGTTGCACAGGGGGAAGAATGAAGTCAGCCTAGAGAGGCACAAAGGTCAGAGTTGTAGGCAAGCGGTCAGGAAACTGCTACTGTCTTCCAGTTCTAGGTGACACTTCTTGAAGCTTATTTGTACTATTAGCCTTTGGCTCTGTGATAAATCAAATGCTCTTCTGTTTCCCTTAAGCAAATTCTAGTGTTGTTGCTACTTATGATAAACCTAATCTAAATAGGATTTGGGTATACACTTTGCTGCTAATGATGTCTATAATGATGACTGCTGATTGAATCGCAAATACACTAGTCTATTTGCCATCTTAGGAAACAGTGAAAGGAAGTCCGGGAGGTCATGGTCTGTAATGCATCATTTGAAACTAGTAACACTGCTCAAATTGAAGTCTTCAGAGTGTATCTGAGCAAAGCACTGCATGTGCTCTTTGAAAATGCAGATTTCTGGACATCATGGCTGACTTAATGAACCAGCATTTCTGGGTAGAAATTTAAACTTTATATGGATTTCCAAAGGACCGTTAGGCACTAGCCTACAGTTCTGTTTGGTAAGTTTCACCAGCCTGATGTTCTGACTTTGACAGCCAGGCTAACTTGGAGGAGGACGTCATTTCTCAATTCCAGATGCCATCCTCAAATTGTGACTACTTAAATTCCAGTAGGACTTCTCAGTCTCCTGTCAGAAAATGAAAACCTGAAGTGTTTATGAAGGCCCTGAGAGATGCAGTTACACTAATTTCTCAGTTTCCTCATTTAGCTGTCACAGAATCAAATGTCTGAGTCAAACAGCTTTTACAGTAAAGGAGGTTTCTCATATGAGGTAACAATGCTGTGGTACAATTTAACCTACTTCCTCCTATTCTGACCTCAAGGTCAGTACAAATAGCTTTCATGCCTTTAACCTCTGTTTTCCTCTTAGAATCACAGTGACAAATTTAGCTTCATGCATTTTAAGAGGTCTCAGTAGACATTAATTCACAGTGATTATGCCAAAATAATTATGTGTTTGAAAGTCATGTGAATTTTCTTTCCTTCACTTTCTTCACTGAAAATCAGCAGAAACCTATCAAATTTTCATGTATGATAATAAGGAAAACCTAAAGAAACCAAACCGAAACAAAAATCCCCATTTCCCTTAAAGTGTTGTTGTTAGGTGGCCTAAAACGTTATGCAGAGGCCTTAATGCTATCATCACAGACGAATACAACAGTAAAGGATCTCCTTCATGGTTTTTCTGACAAGTAGAGTCAATTCACACCCAGGGAGCTTTAATCACAAATCATTCTTATTATAAATGGTCATGGCTCAGGGTGGGTTATCACTTCAATGGCTAAGGCTAAGGCAACTGACTGGAGGAGTTGTTCTTGAGAGCACTGCCAGCATGAAGTTCTTAACTGCTTTCAATGAACACTTCTGCTGTAATGGCTAAATAAGGATCATTCCACTATCTTTAAGTGTAGCATTTCTTGAGAAATTCTGTATTTAAAAGAGGCCAGTTATTGGATTCAATGGGTACAATTAAGATTGCCTGACTAATGCAAATATTATCATTAAGGTTACTGAAGGAATTAATGGCTTAGGCAGGTTAAGTTATATTTTTACCTTTGGTTGGCCCACTATAGCACTCATAATCGCAAATAAAGATTTAAAGTATGGCCAAGAAGAAAATATCATGTAGTAAAATAACAAAAAGAATTAAAAAAAATCATGATAGCAATAAAAATAGGTTGGAATGATGAAAGATTTTTTGTTATCAACAATGTATATCTAACTAGGAGGGTTTTTTTATGTTACATCATGTGAGTTTAATCATTTACCGTGTTGTCTCATCTATAACTCAATCTTCAGCCTCTATCACCAAACAAGAAACTGTTTTAAGATACTGCATAATTTAAAAGAGCCATCAAAATCAAGAATAGAGCATGACAGAACTATAAGTAGAGTATTTAAGAAAATAAGACAACCCATAATTCAGTGAATTTCTTTCAATTATAGATATTCTACTGAATACTTAGAGCAGAATAAAGGAAAATATAACCAACAAACAAAAAAACAAAATCTCTTTTGTTTATTTTTTATCAAATGTTTGAAAAAGATATTATAGCATGAAAATTGAATAACAGCCTATTTGGCTCTTGAGGTTGGAGGTAGATGGGATTATAGAAATGTTTGCTTACTCAACATAGCAATTTAAAATAAAAATTGAAGCCTTAGAGATTTCAGGAAAGTTATGTAGATATACAGATTGCCACAGGTCCTGCTGCTCCACATTCTCTTACACAGAGCTTCTTCATATATTTGAACCCTCCAGCCACTTGAGCTTGGCCTTCCCCTTAGGGGGTGTAACCAATTGTGATGGGGTAGAATGCTAGAGTTGGTTGGAATTGAGACACCACGTGTTGGAAGCATTCCCTATGAAGCTGATACAACAAACATGAACAGAAATCACAGATTTCGATTCCCATCAAGTAAATTAGTAGGAAACCTTTCATGGTATAATTTGGGCTGATCTAGCTACCCACAACCATTTTGCTGTCTGATAGGACTACAAGATTTTAGTTGTAGATTGTAATCTTATGCTGAGTAAAAACATGATCTAAAAGAATGATTAGCAGGTTATCAATACTTCTTATATGAGATAACACTGTAGTACAATTTAACCTACTTCCTCCTATTCTGACCTCAAGGTTAGTACAAATAGCTTTCATGCCTTTAACCTGTTTTCCTCTTAGAATTGGCTTTACCAGAAGTCTCTGTTGTTGGGAAATACCAGGACTATCCAGTTTTACAACTGTCTGCTTAATAAATGCCATAATTCTCTCTCTCACCCCTCAAGGTTTTCATTTGCCTTCATCAAGAATTCACAAGGAATCTTCAAGGATTTCAGAATTGTTAAGATAGCATTCAGTTCATCATCCCTTCAGAAATACAAACTTCCTGGGAATGTATTACTATACTATTATAAGCTGTAGTATTATTCCAGACGGAGGGTATAAGCATGTATATGTACTCAATAATTATAGACCCTTCAGACCGTGTAAAATTTAGAGTACTGAGAAATACACTCATTCTTTGTAACATCGTGTTCACTGAGGAGTCAGTGTATTCAGCGCATTTTTGGTATACTGGGAAACTTACCAACTCAGAAAATCCTATGAGCTTAAACCGAGAAAGGATAAATAAATCTCATTAAGTAACACTGAACGAATGTTAAATAATCAACACCTTTTAAAAAGGTAACTACTATACTGCTTATACACTATATTTAAGTTGGTCATTCACTATAAATTTTTATGTCAGGTTATGAGTCATATTTTAAGAGAAGGCATTGATGAAGCTAATTTTCAAAAATTTGTTCAAAAAGAAGGGGAGAGGCAACTCTTTGCAATGAGTGTCAAGTATAAACAGTAAATTACCTCATACTCCTGGGAAAACTTCAAGTTGTCATTTGCTTTCAACCTTTCAATGTGATCTGCAAGTTCCAAAATAGGTATTGGAGGATGGCTAGCCATACCTATTAAAACAAGGTAAGAAAAAACACATTTGAAAACAAACAAAAATGATGTTAACTATTCCAAAATATAGAGAATACTTATAGTTAGAAATGGCCTGAAAATATGTGAGTAGTAAAGATGTTTTAGGTGAGGAAGCAGGCAGATAGTTTGGTTACTCAAAGCAGGACATGCTCTGCAAAGATGGATTTTGGAGCCAAATAGAAAAGTCACCAAGCATAATCCCCCAACTAACACTCCTAGTGTAAAAGAAAGCGTTATTGTGCTAAGAATCAATGAGGTTAGCTAGTAGAGAAAACTGACAGACTTGATGTCAACTTCTGCTTTGAGTAATGACAGTTATGTCATTTCAAACTCCTTCTCCTGCACTGTGTGAAATGGAAATTGTGTGGAATTAAATGGTGTAAAGTGAACTAAGAAAACATACACTGAGAACGGCCTAAAAGGGAAAGAGCAGTAGCTTGATAGGAAACATAAAGTGACTTATGCATAATTAAGGAAAACTAACTTGAAGGATGAAGGTTACCAGGGTAACCGGAATCATCTGAACCTGCAAAGGAAATGATGGTGTAAATAAAATAAAACAGAACCAATTTGTTTAAAAAAATGAAATGGATAGCCTGGTTTAATTTTTAGGAGGACTAACAACAATGCTGCAAATTTTTGCAGGACTCACTATACACTGTGACTAGACTTAAAAGTTCACAAACCTGTAGGTGACTGACAATTACATGCAAACGTGGACACAAAGAATGACATGCACCACCATTCATTCACAATAACCACTGGCGAGACAGACACCACATTGAGCTTCAAAAATGTTTCCACTAGTAGTAGATTGTAGAGGATGGGGCTGCAGCCTGCTCCTGGATTTTATCAAGGGCCACACTAAGAATTATGCGGTATCTTGCCCCCGTTTCCTGTTATTCAACCCCCAGTAAAGCTACAATCTACTGCAGGTGTAAACATCTTTGTCCACTAATGGGAAATGAATTCAGGAAACTGACAAAATGGTGCAAAGACAAGCAGGGGAACAAGGATAGAAAAAGAAACGAAACAGAGATTGGGGCTGACACATTTTAGTTCAGTCTGCCAGCTGAAGATATGTTAACTTTAAAAATTCTGCCAAAAATAATCTATGGTTAATGGTGGTGATTCCTTTGCCTTCCTGATTTTTAAAATCAGTTTCCATATGATTTTCATTTATTTCATTCTGATTCATTTGGTAAGCATATCATGAGACAGCATCACTGGCTCATATGTTATAGAAAAAAATCCCAGCTGGCTAGAGGAGCCTGAACTAGCACACCCACAGGGAAGCTCTGAGGAGCAGAAACAAAGGGAGGAGCTCAACCTGGAAGCCATGTTGATAACTCTGTTGCCACTGAGACTCTTTGGATGTCAGGCTGTGGAATGATGACCATTATGTCAACATGGCAGGTAAGTAATTTATGGGCATTTTAGAAATTATGCCATTCTTGAAAGTCACCCAGTAAGTTCCTTTATATCTCAAATGCCAAATTATCAATGTTTCTTGAACATTAAGTGAACAACAACTTTGCTTCAGTACTTTAGCACTGTACTATACACTGTAGGGCTCCAGAGTTCACAGCAATAAAGGGCTGCTTTCTGTAAGCCACAATCTTAGTGGAGATCCACTAAAAAACAATTTGTGTGAAAATAGAAACTCTTTGTTGGTGATCTAATTATGCACTTGGATTAAAATTGTGAAGCTCTTTCTTCTATTGTTCTGTATAGATGGTAGAATCGGACTAATTTGCATTCTGTAGAAGGAGTGAGTGGGTGACAGTGATCTGATAATTAAAGCGATCTTATCCAGATGAGGCACTCCCTAAGGGAAAGGATGGAAATGCCAAGGCAGAGGAGACTTTAGGCTTCTATGGAAATGGAGATGGACAACATTACAGTGCTTTAACAGAGAAAATAATAGAGACAAAGATGTTTAGACCTTTTCGAGCGAATCGTGGGAGAGAGTTATTATCATATATGGACTGAGTGGTGGTTTGGCTAGAGAGGGAGGACACAGAGCCAATCAGGGAGGCGTAGGGGACTGAATTACTGCTCAAAGCTGCAAAAAGTAAAGCCAGTTGGAGATGGGAAAAGTATTAGTATAACAGCAGTAGAAGACCATAAAAATCAACCAAAGATGTGACCAACATTTACTTCTGGCATGCATTGGCACATGGTCTGGCAGTATTACTCTGGAAGCTAATTACAGACCAATCCAAGTAAACCTATACTGACTCATTCTAAATCAGAATATATATCACATGCAAAGATACCATAGCATTAAAAATATTTTTAAGACTTCTATGTATCATGTTGTACCAAATTTGCAGCACAAGTAAAAATGGAGAAGTATATGTTTCACAGAAAAGCAAGATGAATTTGTAGGAATCCAATGGTACAGGAGAAAAGAATTCTGGCCTAGAATGTGGGGCATGAATTCTACTTGTGTTTTTTCCCTCTACTGACAGGGACAAATCACTTGCTATCATGTGCCTCAACTTCTTTATCTATAAGATAAAAAGGCACAAATAGATAAATTCTGAAGTGACTCCCTTCTTCATAATTCTCATTTCTACCACCTACAGATAGTATTTCTAAATCTTTTCTTTGAGGGTTAGGGAGCTCTTATTTTACAAAATAGAAAACTATACAGAATTGTTTACCATGTTTAATGACATTTTCTTCAGCTAGCAAAAAACTGTGTGTGTGCATAATGACCTGAAAACACTAATGTCAATATAAAATTATGCTAAGGAATAAACCTGAGATGAAATTCCTTTAACTTGAAACTCTCGTTCATCTCAGAAAACAAACCCAAAGCTCTACTCCAAAATACAGTCACACAATTCCCCAGAGGCTTCTCAACTTCCCAATATTGGAATCATTTTATAGTATACAAATACATTAGATTCCGAAACAAAGAGTAGACACTAAGAGAACCGAGTTGACCTCACTCTTTTCATTCTTTCATTTGACAAGTGATCGTCAGTGTTATTAGGACACTGTTTTCATTCTTCAGTTATGTGAGGTACTTTGAAATTCCTTGTCACAGGTTGCACACACAAGCAATTAATTCAGAATATCTGGGTATGGGACCAGACATTGATGTCTTTAAGGACTCTCAGCCAATGATCTGTGTTCTATGGGAATTTATGTGGGGAGCTGTAATCCCATTTATAATTTCTTTTCATTCAAAAATGTTACGATTTAAGAGAACGAGATGAGTTTTCTCCTGGTGATATCTGTGTCTTCTCTAACTCCCTATTAGCAAACTATAGTCCTTGAGCTATAATTAGCAGCAAAGAACTTGAAGCACAGCTAACAGCTGATGAGGACTTGCCAGTGTCATGACCTCATCAGTTCAAAACTACAAATGTACAGAATAAATGTATTTTAAAGGCACACACTGAAACTCAGCAGAGTTTTCATTTTGAAGGTATGATATTCACAATATACACTGTCAACATGAAAAATGACAGACCCAATGACTGAAATCTGCTCAGGTTGCAGAAAAAACACAATGGCTACTTTAAACAGGACACATATTTGCAATTTGAAATCATGTCATTTTAGGCTGAGCAGTATCTTAGAAGTAACTTAGTCCAGCATTTTCATTTTATACAAGAGGACCCTAAAGTCCGGAAAGTAAAATGGCTTTTGTATGTTGGCCTAGATATTATACCAACTAAATCATAACACGCAGTCTGGGCATTTTTTACTGCATTTTATTCTTAGAATGGTGGTTATGGTCTTCAAGTAGGGGCAAAGTGTCTGACTGGTAAAGGAGCCTGGTTGGCCAGGAAATTGCCGAGGATGGCTAGGTGCTGTATTGTAAACATTTTTGCAAAGGATGTACTCATTCCACTCCCTTGCAAGCAGCAGAATTCCAACTTTATATAGAAGTTCAGGAAAAGGAAGCATTTCTTCTAACATGAAAAATAACAATAAGCATGAGATAAACGGCAGCTGTTATGGTTTGGGTATTAGTATGAACGTTTAATGTCCCCCGAAGGCTCACATGTTAAAGGTTTTATCTGCGAAATCTCATGTTAATGGGAACAAGGTTGAGGGGATTTCATCTAATTATGGCCTTTGGAGGTGGGGCTGTTGGGAGGTGACTCTATTGTACTGGGTCCTTAGGTTTGGCTTCTGCCTTCAGATCAGTCCAGCTCTGGCCATTGTAGCCATTTGGGGAGTGAACCAGTGAATGGCAGATCCTTCTCTCGCTCTCTAACTCTGCCTTTCAAATTAAAAAAAAAAAAAAAAAATACATAGATTTGTTTTTAAAGTACCACATTTAACCGACTGGATTGTGACTTCTATTTTAGAAGAACAAAATCTTCTTTTTGTGTGCAGTTAAATAAAATTACAGAATAATGAGAGTGATAATTGCATGTTTGTATCCACAAAGCAATGGATTAAATACTGAGCTTTGTACTGGGCATATAAAGATGTATATGAGTATGCATGGATTTCAATTATTTTGTGCACCAACATATTTCTCTTTTAATCAGTTTTCTTCAAACTTTCAAAAGTACTTTGTGCACCTTGTCATGGTTCAGTCTATATACATTCCTTTATCTTCTCTTCCCCATAACCTAATTCCCCATTATTTTTACCCACTGAAAATGAAGAGAAATTAAAGGCTTTGATCAAGGTTATTGTTATCCACAAAACTTTGACTCCATGGGGGATCTGATCACAGACCTTGTCACTCTCATTATGCTACGTCTAAACTCCCTTACCTGGAAGAGTGGCGACATGTGCATGAAGTGAATCCTGTAATATTGCTTTCAGCTTTCTATGCAACAAGACATATATATGTATGTGTGTGTGTGTGTGTGTGTGTCTGCATGTATGTATATATAAATCATGCTAAGCTTGAGAAAACCTGTGAATATAATTACTTCATTTACAGTCTGTTTTGATGATCAGTAAGAGGTAATGGACGGCCATAATTCACATCTGTACTTTTCAGTTAGTTTTTGTCAAAGTATTATAAGTTTCTATGAAAACATGAACTGATGATATAAATTCAAAATGTTAAAAACTATAGAACTATTTGACAGAAGATTCAGAAAAAACTAATTTATGGTGTTTCTTTTTCTTTTCAAATGCTCTACTATATGAGTATTTTACTGAATCAGTAGGACTAGATTTCAAAGAACTCTGTTATCCATAGAGAAGTGTTCATCAAACACTCTCTTTCTACACATTTTTAAATGCAGTATTAAATGCAAATAGGCATTTTATAGCTTTATATATTGTCCTAAGTAGAGCTTTAGAGGCCACTAATAATGGTGCCATATCTTCCATTTATTATTTTTTTAGAATTTTTATTTATTTGAAAGACAGTGAGAGCGAGAGAGAGAGAAAGAGAGAGAGCCTCCCATTTGCCAGTTCTCTCCCTAAAAGCCTGCAATGGCTGAGGGATGGGACTAGTCAAAGCTGGGAACTCAATCTAGGTCTCCCATGTGGGTAGCAAGAACCCAACTTAGCCTTTGTAATTTACTACTTGGGTCTGAGTTAGGGTATCGATCCTAGGTTCTCTGATGTGGAATGTAGGCATCATAACTATTAGGTTAAATGCCCATCTCAGAGTTTCATTTTTCAGATGATTTTATTATGGCACTATACATGTGTGGTCATGGAAAGGAAGAAGCTAAATTGTTTATCAAATCAGTGATGGTAGCCTTTTCTAAAGTGGACCTAACTGAATTAACAGTCATAGAGAGAAACTTAGTTAATCAAAAGTTTGTCATATTTTAATATAATTCATGCACTACTTATCATACCCTGAATGAAATAAAAATACTCTGCTATGTTTATAATTTGTATCACACAGTAATGATAAATTAAAGATGAAGAGGACATTGATTTTAAGTTATAATTGCTTCTTGGTACAACAATAATGACAACCTGACTTGTGTGAATAGGATCATCATTAAGTGAAATATTCTCCAAGTGTGCTTTTTAAGTAAGTGTTAAATGGCATAATTAAAATTCATTTTTTAAAAGCACAATTTCTCAAAATGAAGATTTTGAACAAATCCTTTTCCTTTATATCAAAAACTTATAATTTGTATTCATGAGAATGTATCTCTTATTCTTAATGTATGTCATGTGGGAAAGTTTCTCAAAGTTTAAAATAAGATACGGAGAGAAGAAGAAATTACATATAAAAATGGATCTTGTTAACACTGATCCAATTAATAGCACTAGTGGAGAAGGAGAGATGCTTCGAGAGCTTTCATAGCCCGTTCAGTTGCTGTGCTGACATTTCTGCTGCTGATGCTGCTATTTCTGACGCGTTAACTTTTTACGAGTTTGTTTTTGTTTTTCACAGCCCATCAATCATCTACCATCCATGTATGCTTTAGGGCAAAACATATTAAGGTCATCTACAGAATGAAAATGAGCCCTTTGTGTTATAACATCTGATCATCAATTTTTAAATCTCTTTTCCTAAAAGGTGCAAGCACACACACTATAGTTTTGCTTTGTTTGAAGGTCCTTTGGAGGGCATACTCCCTAACATATCTACCAAACCATTCTAACATATACCCAGTTATTGCTGTCCGTACATATTTTCTTCAAAAGTATCTTTGGTGAGTATTTTCTTCCCTTCTTTCAAAATCTTATACTTGAAAGCCAAATTATCACTTAATAATTCTAGTAAATGTCTCTAATCTTTTTACTCATTTTGCTCATTTTGTTCCATTATCTATCTGATGTTGTAAGTCTAATATTAGCCCAATGACACCTTCCTATATTCTGTGGTCTTCATTCATCTATAAAGTCACTGTTGATAATAACATTGCCACTTCAGTTGTACTAAGAGAATTAATGGTAAAACTAGTCTTCAAACAGTACTTTATACTCTGTGTGTCTGTGTGGGTGCAAACTGTTGAAATCTTTACTTAGTATATACTAACTTATATACTAAGTTGATCTTCTGTATATGAAGATAATTAAAAATCAATCTTAATGAAGAATGGGATGGGAGAGGGAGTAGGAGATGGGATGGTTTGCAGGTGGGAGGGTGGTTATGGGGGGGGGGGAACCGTTATAATCCAAAAGTTGTACTTTCGAAATTTATATTTATTAAATAAAAGTATTCTAAAAAAAATTGCCACTTCAACTGCCTGTTCCACACTAGCTCTGAGTGGCCCATGCACCAATAATTGATGATGTGTTATAAAGCTACTCAGCAACAAATGGCCATCTGAAACATAGTAAGACAGATGTATACATTGTGGAAAATCGCTTCAAGTAGAGGTGCCCAGCTTCCTTTGTGAGATCTACAGCCTCCCTGACCTACACATGCTGGGATACAGCATTTCACTAGCAGTGTGACTTGATTCTTGTGAAACAATTTCGAAGTATGTTAAAGCAATATTTCTCCCACACCCCCAATTTCACAAAAATGGCTATGCCCAAAATGACAAGTATCTCTGTGATTTTATTGTGCCTAAGGTGAAAAATAACTTGATGGAAATCTGACTTTTTTCTGAACAAACTATGTCCGTGGTACTGCAGTTAAGGTACAGTTCTTTGATGCACTTAAACTTAAGTCAGAATACTGTATTTACATGAAATTGAGAATGTCAGGCAGAACTGAGCAAAAAATGATTCCTTAAATCTAAAAGCTCCAATAAGAATAATTTAAAATAAAGTTAAAATAAAGTATAAGTAGATCTTTCATTTACTAAGTTATGCATAGATTTTTTAGGAAAGCAGAATTTGTGAAATCAGTGAGTTAAGCACTGTGGTTCCATATTCCTTCTGAAAGGCTTACTGAATTTCAAACAGCAGTGTTCCTTTGTTTTTAATCACTCGCAACAGAATCATCAGAAGTGATAATTTGCTTTCATGGACAATTTCTGTGATAGAACAATATGTAAATCACAGGTATCTTATTTCATTGAAAGCTATTTTTTCTAGTGAATCCATGGATTATATATTCTCTATTTATGCATATCACCAATAAATATTCTCAAATATTATCATGTTTGGGAATAAGTAGTTGTACAGACATATATATGATGTATATAAAAGTACAGACAGGGAAATGTAAAGAATTTTAAATCCCAAAATTAAACAGAATTATAATACTTGTCATGCAACACCACTAATTAAAGGAATATTTTATTTCACCACCCAGGAAAACTCTTGACTCTTTGTGAATAAGATGAGAGGAAAAGCCACAAAAAGGTCCCATGATTAACAGTCCCACCTTCTGCTGCCATCCTACTGACAAATAATTAAAGTAATTCATAGTTACTGGCTGGAATCCATACTGGCTGAATCAAGTGGTCACATTTCAATGCATTTAACATTAACAGCTGAGTCTATTTCCTTTGCAAAATGGCCAAATTTTCTGGACACCAGAGCACATCATAGAGCTTGAAAGGCAAAATAGAGCATTTCAACAAATCAAGTTGAAGTGAATTGCTTGTCTGAGCTAAAGTGTACAGTATGATTCCTGAGTAAACAAATGCACTAGGGTCTTAGAACAGATTTTCTTTTTCTATTCTCTCCCTCTTCTTTATCTCCTTCTCCTTGTTAATTATTTTTGCTCTTTTTATTCTATTATCCATTGGAGGCAATAAACACAAATGATACTTTCTTCTATACTCCTCGCCCCATTTTAATTTTGTAAAGTCATTGATGATACATATAATGTCACATCAACTGAAATTTTCATTCTCCTTTCCAGTTCTCTCCATAAATGGATCCAAAATTCCCATGTACATTGAGAAAATTAAATTCTTAATAGAATTCTTAGGTTTGACTATATTTTCAAAATTACTCAAAGTGAGAAATACACAGTGTAGAGATTTCTTGGTTGAAGGCATTTATATTCTCTTGCTTACAGGCACCAGCATCCCGCTAATAATCCTTTCTACATAGCTCCAATTCATGCTTTGCCTTTACACTATATTTTTCGCCTATGTAAATGTTTTCTTACATGTTTTACACTGATAAAGGTATAGTTTAACTTCCTGAAACTTAAAAAGCCCATCTTTGATCAATTTTATGGAATGAAATGTTGTCTGATTTTAGGACTAAAAATAAAGCCAATAAGATGTTTAAATTTTAAAAAGTCTATCCTCATTTAAGTTAGACTTTAAAACAAACCCATATTTATGGTTATATAGCCACTCTGAAAGTACTCGGCATTTCTTTCAATTGAAGAGTTACTAGTCACTATAATGCACCTACATGAAAAAAAAAAGAAAAATGCTAAATGAAATAAATCATGTATTTTCAATTCAAACAATTCTCTGTGACTGTGTAGTTTAATAAACTTATACTTTATCATGCCAGAAGTTAGAATATCAACTTGACACCAAAGAACACTGCCCACAATTTGGGGTATAATACAACAACTTAGATCAGCACTTTACTTTGTTCATTATTATAAGATACTAAAACAGTGCCACTCAATTTTATAGTCTTAGCTCCCTCTACAATTCATGATTTATTTCATTTGGTATAAATACGCTTTAGTTGAAAGAAAGCAAAATAGATATGGGGTTAAATTAACAATATTGTACATGATGCCTCTTGACAGGAGTGGTATTGTTCTTCTGTTGAAGCACTTAATGTTCTTTATTTTAGGTGAAAAATATATTTTCAAATATTTTCCCAGTAAGAAATCGAAATTGTTCCATGAGATTTCATTTGGTGATATTTAGAAAGATAGAAATGTTTGCCTCATCTTTCTTCTCCCTTTCCCACCTCTTTGTTTCAGAGTGCCATAAACACAAACCAATAGAAAAATATAGAACAAATCTATGCTTTCCCAATGGGATGAATGATGTCTACACTCATGCTTTTATTCACACATTCACTTTATATGATGAGAACCTGATTTCTTTCCAGTTAGGTGTCACTGGAAATAGTAACCTCTGTTAAATTAATAAATGTAAATATTCTTAGAAAGACTGTAATTCTTCAAAAAATTTGGAAGACAGTTACATTTTTTTCTCCTCTCCACACCACTTCAGATTTATATGAGAAACTTAAATTTCATTTCAGGCTTATGCTTGGATGATTCACAATAATATAAAAATAAAAGAGCAGGATGAATACAATGGTTCAGAACAAAGTGATATATTCATCTCTCAAGACAATATCCATTAGGTTATAAAAGAACTTTAAATAGAAACTGTAATATGGACCATATGGGTGGTGCCTCTTACCTGGTGTTTGAAAATTAAGGCGCCTCAGTTCTACAGGATCAGTTGGGTGGTGTGAAGGGACCTCCTTGCTGTTTGGGATGCTGCTCTTTCTGGAGTCAGACTCTGCCCTCTTCCTATAGGGATAAAATAAAAAGTATAAAGCAACAAAAAATTGAAAGAGATAAAAGAGCACAGAGTTGTACTCCTTCCCTTGGAGTTTGCATTCATAACAATTATTAACAAGCTAGATTTGTGACCTGTCGGATTGCTTTTTCTCTCTGGGCTCTATAATGTTTGATCAGGTCTAAAATTTTTGTTTAAGCAGAAGTTCTCCTTCAGCTCTAGAATCAAATAATTCAGTGACTCTGCCTTTAGGCTTTAATGAGTTGTAAACATAAGATATGTTTTGATCCTTGTTCAGCAATTCTTTCTTACCCAGTAGCTCTATTTGTAAGGAAGACAGTATAGCCAATAGTATTGCTTCCACAGAGATTACCTGGCCTCTAGGAGAACAGTTCAATCTGTCCCCTTTTCTAAGATGATATTACTGGTAGCTACAAAGTAGACATGCATTAGACTTTCCCATAAGGCAGGGGGATAAAGATATTTCTAAGTTGCTGTTAACCTAATACTGAGAAGGAGAATTGGTACCACACTAAGCTGACATGCCATTTTCTTCCTCATTGGAAGGGAACAAAAATATCGTTGGGTGTTTATGGTGATGTTAAAATGTGATTAATATTTTGATACTTAAAGTTGATCTCACAAAGATCAGAGAAAAAATAATTTCACTTAGTTAGTAGTCCAACTTGTCTGAGGATCACTCAAGGTACCACACAATTCATTTTATACTTGTTTTAAAAGCTATCTACTAGTTCTATTAAATACCCTTGTTTAAGCTGTCATAACAAAATTTTAACAAATTTCTAAGCAAGAAATGTCAGATTTGTTCATAAGATTTCTTTACCTATTCTTTTCTCAAACAATTACAGAGTTATAACTGCCTTCTAGGTTGAATTAGACTGAAAATCTGTTTATCAAGTAGAAGCCTTTTCAAACAGTGCTTTTTTTCTAAATACTGTTTCTAGCAATCTCCATGCTGGAGTTTTAATCCTAGCATCTCACCTATTCTCAAAACCAAAGCATTATTATTTGGGGATAGGAGTGCTAAGATGTGTTGAGAAAGAAGTCCTTTCTCTTTCCCATATTACTATGCAACAACTCATTACTGCTACTGTGGCAATGGGCTCTCCATTCAAGGACAGACAGGTTATTCTGTGGTTAGCCAGAGGCCTCATGTTAAACAGCTGTGCCTTCCACCTCTGCTCATCTGTATAAAATAAAGCTGACCAGGGGATGAAGGAAAGATTGATGCAAAGAGAAACTGCACCTGCTTTGCTTAAGTGCAATGCCCTCAGTAAAACATCCTCAGTGGAATGTCTGTTTTTGGGTGAGTCCTATTTAGACCCCTTGCTTTCTCAGTACCTTGTATTAATTTGTCTCAGGATTTCATTTTTCTACCTAAAGGTGTTGGTACAGCCTTAGGACGGAACACACTGCCAAGCCATTTCAATTCCACCAGTTATAGGTGAGCAGTGCATTTTGAGACTTGATGGTAGCAGTGGAAGCACCAGCTGTATAGAGTGGAAAATGAATAAGGAAGGAAGAGATAGAGGTTTGTTGAGAAAAATATAAGAGAAACCGGGGCTCAGAAGAACATGTGAAAGAAGGACTTGATGACCAGTTTCAGAGCAGAACCTGTCACTGTACCCATGCTATGGACATTAGCCTAACACCACTGAGGAATCCATTCAGCAGCAAAGATAACACAACTGAAAAGGGTTAGTGAAACATCATGATGTATGGCTAGACAGTCACTCTCACAGGAAGCATGCTGCTGGTCTCCTACACACTTGCAGTCCTTCTCAAGCTTTGTTCTTCTAAGTTGGCAAAATGCATTTCTTTACTGATGTGCCAAAACTAATGACTAAATCCTGGATTTTTCTCAATTTCCTGAGTGGCTCTACTGTCATTCTTGCAAGATTGTGGAAACCATAATTAGAAATATCTGGGCAATGAAACTCTTTTACTCTGGTGAGTCTTGTGGAACAGCCTCCTCATCTTTGCCCCAGTGGCCAGGCTGAGTGACACTGAGCTGAGAGATAGCGAAGAATATTCTCTAAGAAATTTAGCCAATGTGTGGTACTAGGATAGTTGGAAAATACATTCTGTTGTCAAGATATGAGTCTCATAAACCCAGAGCATGGGATTTAGAATTACTTATAATTTATATTAATGAACTGAATGAGATATTCTGAAATTTAAACACTAACTTCTCCCTCATTCTGTTTTTTTTTTTTTTTTTAAAGATTTATTTATCTATTTGAAAGTCAGAGTTACACAGAGAGAGATGGAGAGGCAGAGAGAGAGGCCTTCCATCCACTGGTTCACTCCCCAACTGGCCGCAACAGCCGGAGCTGCACCAATCAGAAGCTACAAGCCAGGAGCCTCTTCCAGGTCTCCCACATGGGGGCAGGGGCCCAAGAACCTGGGCCATCTTCCACTGCCCTCCCAAAGTGACAGCAGAGAGCTGGATCGGAAGTGGAGCAGCTGGGACTCAAACCCATGCCCATATGGGATGCTGACACTGTAGGTGGTGACTTTACCTGCTACCCTACAGCTCTGGCCCCTCTATCTGTTTAAATGAAATGATCTCCAAGGCCTCTCAAAATCCTAGCCAGTTAGGAAAATCAGCTATCTAAATTTGTTTTACTTCTTTTAGATGATCACATCATGGATAATTCTTCTGCCTTTATTATTATCAGATAATTTTTAAACATTTATGTGCTGGAATGTCTCTTTTCTAACACAGAAAGGAAATTTTTTAAGACTTGGAAGATGAATTATTTGGTAATCATTGGTCATAACAGTAAGGAGTTTCAAAAACTGAACTGATGTTTTGAAACACTAGAAGGTATGTAATGGTCCAAATCACACCCAACAAGAATGCAAATAGCAACATTTTCCTGATGCATTTTCAGAGGTCCCTTCATTCTGATTCCCAATTAGAATAACACAAAGAATAGTGACTAAAAAAGACTCTACATTTTGTCAACTTAAACTTTCCCTATTAAGATTATAAGACTCTAGAGTAAGTTTATCTCTTGCAGTGAGAAATGGATGAGAAGAATATGGAAGATCATGACATTTCAGCTCTGGTAGAATTTGTTAACAACATATATAAAACAACAACAAAATGCTACTCTGTGGTCTGAGGAGAATTTTACTTTTGCTATTGCCAGGCTGTTATATAGGAGGGAAGCAAGAACAAAGAGAGGTTGCGTGGATGATCATATTTATGATGTTGAACAGAGATACTCAGACATAAGAGTACAGGCTTTTGAAAGAAAGTTAGATGAAATCTCTACTATTATTTTTGATGAAATCAGTTCAACCCTTCAGGCTCCAATACCTTTAAGAATGTAAACTCAACATTAGCACTGCTTGTGGATAAACTACAAACATTCTTCTCAGTTTCTTCACTTGTAAAATAGAAGAGAATTAGAATGAGGCTTAAATGTTAACCCAACTTTCTCCTCTTAATAGCACAGAAAGGCAGTGGTTAAGTTATACAGAGTGGACAGTATTATAATGAAGTTGGATCTCTGAATATATTAAGTGAGTTACAGCATTTTATCTTTGGACTGAAAGAAAAAAAGTATAATATTTTGCATACATTTTTCTGCTGGGTTAATGGCAACTTTCTAGGTCCACAGACACACACAAAGACACCATTACAGAGGTTTTAAGACACCTATCCTGGGTGTGTCTGGTTTGCTGACAAGTGGAAAATGATTTCAGAGAAAATAGTACAACAGCTTTTCTCAAAGCTTAGTGTGCCTCAGAACCACCTGCAGGGTACCAGGAGGAGGTCTGGGGTAGGGCCCAAGAATCTGTATTTCTACCAAGTTCCTAGATGGTGATGGGGCTGCTACTGGGCCAAGGACCACTCAGTGAGAATCACTAGAGGATGACATTGAGAACAAGGCAGATGATTCTTGAGATCCTTTCTTAATTTAATTGTAATTAGCAATTTTTATATATATGTGTGTGTGTGTGTGTGTGTGTGTATTTATATCTATACTTATATCTGAAAGCATGAAGTTTAGTTTTGACTAATCATTCAATGACTTAACATTTATTTTAACTATTATCATTATTATTTTTATTGATACTATTCAAGGCTAGGATACACGGATGGTAACTTTGAATTAGGGAGTTTTCACTAAAGCACTGCCATCAATATTTGTAGGGTATGAAAATGCTAGTATTCCTGTGTCTGTGGTCAAACTTAAAAACTGATCATTGCTAAAACAAACAAAACAAAACAAAAAAGGTTTATAGACATTTCTGTTTTGCAGAGACACATTAACACATACAAATGTTCATTTCACTTTAACCACAAACACAACTCAGGGACTGGTTTTACTGCCTTTTAAATCTGCTTTTACTTAATCTGTCTTAGTCACACATGGAGAAGATATTTAATACATATTCCCCAGAATCATTTCAATATCAAAATAATTATGTGTGCATGTTCATCCTTCATTTGCCAGTTTTACCTTTAAAATCCAGCCCCCACCCTCACTCTTCAACATCTCCAAAGTCTATCAGTTTCTTATTTTCTTCTTACTGAGCATTATAGTTTTTTTTTTTCTTTTCTCTATTCCTCACCTGTCAGGTTTACTGCTCCATTTTAATGCAGCAATAAAGGAAAAAGAAAGGCTACACGTTAGTTGGCCAGTGGTAACAAGAGCAACCTTGAAAACCAGGATTTAAGAAATAGTGCTCACAAGCAAAGACACATAACTGAACACATACATTAGGAAATGACAGCGTATCAGAATACTCAAAGGCCCCTAATCATGAAATAAATGGAGGACATGAGGTTATATTGTTGAATAAAGAATTGTTTGTATGTGTGTGTTAATGTCACATTCACTTTCATTCATCCACCTATCAAATCTTGTGACAATTAATTATGTCCCAGGAAGAGTTCAATGGTGGAGATATACATTGATTTTTACAAAACATGCCATGAAACAGCTACTGATATACTCAATGAGAATATAAC